CAGACACACGGGCATCATGCGATGGACCGCTAACGCCTCCATTAGCTGCCCCACTCTAACCATTAGGAGTGGGGCTCTGGAGCCTGCAGGGTCTACCGAGATTTCTAACAGTCTGGCCCGGGGCCCAACAGGAGCCAGGAGCTCCGGCTTTTCCCTTCTGTTTAGCTCCGGTGGGGGTAGTGGCTGCTGTGAGCCTCTCCCATCTGGCTCTGTTTCTGGGGAGCTTTGTGGGGGTGACTTCTGGGGAGGTGGGAATCCCTGGCTCCCACACCTGTTTAACTGTGGCTTCCATGCTCCTCTCATCCTGACGCTCTCCCATCTCCTTTCCACATCTTCCTCAGGTCTCACAGCTAGGTCAATGCCCACCTCCTCCAGCAAGCATTCTGTAACCACCTCCTATTGGCTCTCTTCTCTGAACCTCCTCGAGCAAACATGCTGATGCTACATAGTCATGCACCATGTTCTGGTGGCTTCCGAAGCCAGAGAGCATTGTGCAAACTATACCTCAGGCCATTGAGAGCAGGGACCATGCCTGACACTTCTCTGCTGTTCTCTGGAGCATGGAATGTAGCACAGAGCACTGCTCCATCACTCCTAGCTGGAGAGTTAATAGTGCTTCACTGTGGCATCCACTGTGATTGCCACCCAGGTCTCCCTTCAGGAACGATGCACTCCCCTGCCCCTTAGCTGTCAGGCCCTACGGAAACTGCCCTGGATGAAGAGAGCTGCTGGCCCAAGGTCACACTCCACCCCCAGGCTGTCCCCATCCGATGACCAATGGACATGGCCATAAAAAGACCTGCCCCTTCACTCCATCTTGGGACAAGTGTAAAGAGTCACCCCAACTTCAGAGCTCCCCATAGGGTCAGCACTGCCCACCCACACTGCACTGTGGGTCAACTTCTCCCTCTGCCCAATCCTGCTCCCTTCCCTTCCTGTCTAGAGGTACTGATCCCAAGGGTACACCTTAGTAAGTGCCCTGCCCTCTAATCTCCATCCCAGAGTCAGCTTTCCCTGTTAATTGCCTCAGTTCGTTCATCTCTTCAAATGGAGCGGGCATGGGGCCAGAGGAGTAGAGAAAATCCCCATACGCCCTGGAGGTGAGAGACCTCCCTCAAGGTCAACACAGGCAGTGGGTCAGCAGTGTGGCCAGGACTCGGCCCTCCAGTGATTGCTCCTCTACCCTACATCCTGTGGGGAGGGAGCTTGCGGCGGGAGACAACCCCAGCAGGAACCCCCTCCCAGTCAGCAGGTCTCCAGCTTGGGTGGGGACAGAGCACAAGGAGGCACACTGCTCTTTGAGGAATGCAGGAAACACTCATTTAGTACATTCACATCATGAAATGCATAATTTTGTCTGAAATCAGCAAACATCTTTGACTGGTTTCCCAAAATAAACAAATGGTTATCAATCGGCCAAGTTTTGAGAACATGTTTAAGGAGAAAACCTTTGAACTGCTTGTGAGTTTAACCTTTTTCTGCAACATGAGGAAAAGACATCCACAACTCAGTTTTAATCATAGAGCCCCTTGGAGCAGCCCACGGAATGCGGGAGCAGAGTCTGCTGACAGCGGCTCTAGAGGAGCTCTCCTTCCCTGCCAGCCCCCACCTTGGGGGCAGAGCTTTACAAGTTGATCCAGGAGAAGGAACAATCGATCCTGGGCTCCCCGCCCCTGGAGGGAACGCAAGGCAAAGCTCTGCTCCCTGGGCTTATAAGCAAATCCAGCACTCGGGATGGGGGGCCGAAAGCCCACACTTCGCTGCAGACATCTTCTCCCCACTGTCACCTTACAGGGTTTCCTGAGCCTCTTGGACCCCCTCTGATGTGAAGAGTGGGCTGGCACAAAGACCATCTCCAGGAGGCTTACAAAGATTAGCTTGTTTAAGCCTCCCAATTAGGAGACCCATTTTACAGAAGAGGAAATAGAGTTTTCAAGATATGAAGCAATTTGCCCAGATCACAGAGTTAGTGGGTGGAGGAGGCGGGACTCACACCCAGTGTCTAATTCCAGGGCACGTGCCTCAGACGTTAACCACCCGGAAAAAAAGCAGTGAAGGCAAGTCCAAACACCGCGCGAGTCACCTGGAACTGGGATATAATGCAGACTCGAGAGCCCAGTTTGAAAATTCCTGCTCCAGGCTGCGGGGTATCACAGAGCCCAGGTCCAGCAAATTGCCCCTGCTAGGGGGAGTTCACAGCCATCAGACACAACTCCAGGTACTCTGCAGGAAGACAGAAGGCCACAGCCCCCTGCAGGCATTCCAAGGAGAGACACCATGGGTATAGAGGGGCCATTGCTCTTCATGGGACATTACAGCCACACCCCAATTATGCACCTACCAGCTCCCCGCTGTTGGCATTTTCTAGGTCAAAGGTCCACCTGAGGTTGTGGAGTCGAAAGGGCTGAGCATTGGAGTCAGTAGAGGGGAGTTCAGCCTCTACTTCTAGCTGAACCATCTCGGCTGATGTCCCTGGCCTCAGTTATTCCATCTGTTAAATGGGGAAACAGTACCTGCTCTCCCCCACAACAGAGGGAGAGATCAGAGGCATGACACAGATGATGGCCGTGCCCTTTGGCCACCAAACCTGATTCTGGTCGCCTCCCCCTCTGCCACCTAGGAAATGCAAGCCCCTCTGGGTGTAGTTTAAGCCCCAAATACTAGGAAAGTTAACCTGCTGTACAAAAATATTAACTATCAAGGTCAAATAGAAAGGTCTGGGGCTTAGCAAGGCCACTAACTCTTAGCAAGGCTGGGAGTTAGGGTCGACATGACGATATTCTGCAGCCATTCCTCAAACGTCAGAATCACACGCTCTACCACGAAGGACTTGGAAGGGCCCTGGTGTTGGCTTCCTGCTTTCCGACAATGAGGTCCTTAAACTACCTGGCTGCCTGCTCTTCTCCTGAAAGTCCCCATTGCCTGGGGACTCCAGGACGGCTGAGGGCTGGATTGCACCGTACTCCAGATCGTGATAAAGGTGGAGCGCCCCGGCCTCACCCGGCTCTTGCTTGACGCGCGTCTGTATAAATCTTTCATGAGTTTACTGGCATGAACGTTCTTTCCCTGCAGCCTCCTCTTCTCTGGCCCCGTCCCTGAGCCTCTCCTCACAGGACATACTTTCCATCCTTTTAATCATCTTTATTGCCTTGCTTTGGACCCTGTCCCAGGTCCACATCCTTTTCGAGGTGTGCTGACCTAACCGGGCATTTGTTAACACGAGCGCGGCCTGGCGGAAGGTCAGCTTCCCGGTGCGTGCATGTCACGCTCCTCTTCCTACGCTCCTGGGTCACGCTGCTGCTTTCCGGAGGCCTGCCACTGTCCCGGGACTCCTGCTGAGGGAGGTGACCTGGCCCACATGTGGAGGTGTGGCTGACCTGGATGCTGGGCGGCAGCCTGCCACGGCCTGGGCCCAGGGAAGCGGGTCAGAGGGTGACTGCTCATTTGGAAGCTCAGGGACTCCCCACACCTCCAGACACAAACTCAGGGGACCACAGGGCAGGGGAGGAGGGACACCAAGCCTCTGCTCTCCCTGATACCTCCCTAGGCCCCCGTAAACTCCCTTCCCCTTTAGGGGGGCGCCCCCTACTTCTTCCCTGCACCAGGAACCCAGAAACCAGGAATCAACCTCTGTGAAGCCGCACAGCAAAAAGGAGGCACTCACAGTGCAATAACCACACTCTGGACAAGCCAGGAAGAGGGCTCGTGCCAAATCTCCTCGCTCAGTTCCCCCTTCTGATGCCGCTACATAAAGTGCCTGGTGGTTCTGAGTTCTAAGCCAGCACTGCCTTCCGCCCAGCTAGTTGTACATTTACCGTCCTCTGGAACTGTTTCAGTCCCACTAAATCCACCAGCTGATGAAGAGGCATTCCGGGTGCCCAGTCCTCCACCCACTCAGAGCTGCGGCCACCACCCAACACTCCTCACTCAGGGCCCACGCGTGGAGGGAAGGATCGGGGACCCTGGTCAGCCACAGCCCTAGTCTTGAGGGAGCTGCATGAGAACAGACACTTCCAGTTTCTGAGCAAGGATGTTGGCTAGGCTCTTTCTTGGCTCTCGGAGCACATTCTCTATTCAGTAAAGGTAAAACCACAAGCCATCACCTTTATCTAAGATGAAATTCCCTGTAGAGGAACACTTCATTTTAATTCCTCAGGCAGAAGTCTTTTTTCTCTTTCTTCTCCCTCTCTCCTTTCTTTCTTTCTTTCTCTCTCTCTCTCTCTCCCTCCTTCCCTTCCTTCCTTCTTTTATATTTCCACCCGGAAATCATTTATGCACGTTCAAGCAAAAAATATACTCTAACCCCTCTTTTGCACAAATGGCCACACACTGTAAACATTTTTCTGCATTTGGAGTTTTCCATTTGAAATATAGCTTAAGATCTTTCCATGTCAGAAAGCCTTCAAGGAAACAAAAGCCCGCCTTCCCAGGATGCCCAACCTCAGTGGCTTGTTCCTACCCCCGGCTACCTCAGGGCACTTTTTCTGGCCCCTCGCGATCACCCAGGACTCTGAGCTGCAGGGAGACCCTGGTCTCTGCCTTGGTTTAAGCGAGCTCCTCCATGCATGTGAAAACAGCAGCATGTGCAGTTGCTGATCTGTGTGTTGCCTGTCACAGCAGAGCTGAGCACAGCCAGGGACGACTCTCAGTGACTGGTGGGGAGGAAAGACAGATACTCTTGGAATCGTGAGCTCCAGAGCCTCCTGGAGGCCACGTCTCAAAACACACGCCAGCCGGGTCCTAGTCCCCGAGGACTGCTATTGTTGCTGCAAGGTCCAAGGAAAGAGCAGTTCTGCCGAACTGCAAAACCTGCCTGGACTCCTGAAGGGCTCCATTCCCGGGCCAACCAAGACAAGTGTAGCCGCTGCTGCCCAACCAGCAACCAACCCACCGTGCCCCCTCTGGTGACTGGGAAAAGCAAAACACACACTAGAACTGATGGGCTACAGATGACGACAGAGGACACGAAAACCCAAAGCTCGCGATGGAGTCTCTCCTACCTTCGATCGTTTCTCCTCCTCCGGAACAACTTCTTGGTGTGCGCGATCTCCACTTCATGGGGCATTGGGTGGTAGCCCTGTGTTGTGGGGGAAAGAACGGGGGATTGTTAGTAACTTCTGAAAGAGAACCAAGAACTTCTAATGCTAACACTATCTATGACAAAAAGAGATGGAGGGCTTGGAAAGACAACCAAATCCAGACTGAAAGATGGAAAATACCAGAGTTAGTGAACGGAATTACAGAACCAAAGAAGAGTAGAGACACAAAGGGGACCTTAGAATTCGTCTTATCCAGTCACTCAGATTACAGATGAGAATGCTCAGGTCCAGAGAGGTGAATGAGCCAGTTCAAGGTCCTGCAGGGAATTAGCAACAGAGCTGGGACCAGATCCTAGATTCACCGGCCGTGTGACTGAGGACAAGTTACTTCTCTAACATCAAGCTTCCTGATACAATAGGAATGTAAGCATCTTTTCTGAGCAGTTGAGAGGACCAAGGAGATGCAGCCCCCTTGCAAACCACAAGCCTCACGCAGAGGGAATGGCTAGGACCCAGGTCTCCTCATCCTAGTCCAGGACCCCCCGTGCAATTTTTGTCCAAGATCCTCATTACTTATACTCCTGGGGAGTAGTTAGGGGAAACACGCAAATAGCCAAATGCCTTTTAAACCTTAAACTGGGGAAAATCCTAAGGATGGTCTTTTGTATATTGTTGTCATGACAACAACTATCTACATATTGACAGCAAGGTTGGAGAGAGACCCTCTACTTATAACGTGGGGTGATCCTACAAATACCAGGCCCCAGGCAGAATTATTTGCAGAAGCTGGGCTGGTGGCCAGCTCTGTTCTTACCACCTCCCTTCCCCTTAGGAAAGTGTGTTCTGGTGGGATATGGGAGAGAGCACTGCCATCCCATTATGGGCAGCCTGTGGGGGGTGGGCAATAGGGTGTTCCTAGGCCTGGGGGTCTGGGAGGAAAGGGTGGTCCAGCTTGGGCCGGGGATACCTGGATACAGGCCCTGATGCAGAGTCCACAGCCTGAGTGTCACCCCCATGCCACCCACAGGGCCCTGGGCATGCACAGGGTGAGAGGGCATGACAGGGCCCAGGGTGCTGGAGAGTGCTCACTGAGAGTCCATTTCCTCTCCCCTACTCCCCCAGCACACACACTTTACCGACAGAAAGACTGAGGCCCAGAGGGCTCATTCAGTGATTTAGAGACAGGCAATTCTGTGGGGCTGGCGGCCCAGACCCTCTATGGTGAGGGCATATGCAGCACTCCGGATACAGGCTCCACAGTGGAGGGCCCTGCTGGCCCTAGAGACTCCAATCCCCGACCCAGCGGAGGGGCAGAGTGGATGTTGGGGCTGTGCCAGGACGGGCCAGTCTTGGGGAGCTTCCTGGGGGGCACTGGGAGGACAATAGGCTCAGGAGGACACAGGGACCCTGGTGTTTCGGACATTGGCCTAGACTCCCATTGAGTCCAGAGAAGGAATGACACATTTCAAAATATATTTTAATGACAACCCCTCCCTCCCACCCTGTATCTTGCCTCCGACAATCCAGCCAGAAAGGCATGAATGAATTCCGGGCTCCAGGCAGCCACAATGGGCCGCTGCGGCTTTAGGATGTGCTTTGTTGAATGGTTTTCTCAAAGGATATTATTTGCTTGCTTTAATACAAAACACAAACAAGGAAAAACACCAAGTCTTCCCCTCTCATTTCCCCTCTCCCACCCTGACCCAGCTCCGGGCTGGCCCCTTCCCTCCCTCTCTCCCTCCCTCCCGGCCTCAGGTCACTGCAGGAACATACTGGGTGTGCCCCACACAGACAATGGAAGGAAGCGGAGGCTCCCTCTCAAGCTGGCGGCCTGGACGGGGATCTCAGCTCTGAGGCCAGGCGGAGGGAGCTGTCCGCAACATTCGGCCTTCCACGAGCCCAGGAGGTGCCGGCCTCCCCCGTCCAGGCCTCAGAGTCCTGGACTCTGACCTGCATCCTGGTCTCTCCCCCAACACTGGCCACAACAGTAGGGAGCTGCCCTTGGGACCCAACCTCAGCATGGAGTCCTAGCTCTCTGCCAGGACTCCACGTGGCCCAGTGGCATGCCGGGCCACTGAGGGCTTCTAATGAAGCCACTGCGGTGACATCTGTGTCCATCCATCCATCCCCCCAAATTAATATATACGTATGTACATATATAAAATATTACAGTAGTTAAAGCATGGGCTCTGGAACTAGACTGTGAACATTCAGTCTGGCTCTTCCTCTTCATGGCTGTGTGACTTTGAGTAGATGATCTAATCTCTGTGTGCCTCAGTTTCCACATCTTTAAAACGGAGCTAATAATAGCATCAGCCTCCTAGGACCCTTGTGAGGGTTAAACAAGTTAATAAACATGTAAAAGATGGAGAGTAGTGCCTGGTACAGAGTAAACCTCAATAAGTATCTCTAGTGTCGTTGTCATCACCATCGTCATTATCATCATCGCCGTCTTTCCCATGATCCTGACACTCTGCTCAGGGCTGCTCTGGTCCCTGTCCTCATGGAGCCCCTAGTCTTGGCAGAAAGAGTCCAGTGGAGGTGGTTTGTAGGAGTGAGTGGGAAGCTCAGGTCAGGAAAGGCAGAGAGAATTAGCAGAAAGCCTGGTGACCCAGGTGGTGTGCTGGGGAAGGATGCAGCTCTCTTTCTGAGGCTGGCAGACCCCAGGGAGAGGCCAGAAATCAGCTGAACAAAGTGACAAAGGTGACAGAACAAAACCTCGCACCTCTGAGGTCCTCCCTCCCCAGGAACAATCCATGCCAGGGCTATAGGGGAGTCGTCCTGCCCACAAAGCCACCTGGGCCCCAGCCTGTTGACATCACGGTGAATAAATGAATGACTGCTTTCTTCCTGGGGCACTTACACAGAACTTTCAGGCTCTCCTGCATAAAACGGGGTGCACTGTATTTATACAAGCTTCACCGGAGGACCCTCTTCAATCAGCCACCTTGTTCCTCAACCTCAAGCTGGTGGTTGGTACCAAGTGACACACACAACTCCAGATGCTGCCCACATTCCCCCCAGAACAAAGGCATCTGGGGGCAAATATGAGGCCAGCAGAAGAAAAAAGAGGGAGAAAAGTTGTGCTTAGCCACACATCTGCCATCAGGTTAGCTGCTGACCCAGGCTAGCAGAGGTTCTTTAAAGTCATTGGTGAGAGGTGAGACTTATACATGAATATTCATAGCAGTATTCATAATAGCTCCAAATGGAAACAACCCTAATGTCCATTGACTGATGATTGGATAAATACAGTGTGGTATGGCCATACAATGGAATATTATATGGCCATAAAAAGGAAGGAAATTCTGATATATGCTACAGCATGGATGAACCTTGAAAACATCATGCTTGGGGAAAGAAGCTAGTCACCAAAGACCACATACTGTATAATTTCATTTCTACGAAACATCCACAATAGGCAAATCTGCAGAGACAGAAAGTAGGTTAGTAGTTGCCAGGGGCTGGGGAGAGTGAGAATGGGGAATGACTGCTAATGGGTGCTGGGTTTATGTTTTGGTTTATGAAAATATTCCGGAATTAGACAGTGGTAATAGTTGCACAACCTTGTGAATATACTAAAAACCATTTAACTGTACACTTTAAAGGGTGAATTTTATGGTTTGTGAATATACTAAAAGCCATTTAATTGTACACATTAAAGGGTGAATTTTATGGTATGTGAATTATATCTCAATTTTAAAAAGGTGGAAAAAATTATCTGGGAGCAGGATATTCCAGGTAGACAGAACAGCAAGTGTTAAAAAAAAAAAATATCCAGCCACAATGAAAAGTGTCCCTCACTCAATTACTCTCCAAGAAGCAGTTGCCCTAAAACTTTGTCCATAAGATAGAGCTGGAAAGGGTGGCATGTCCTAGGCAAGGGGGACCCAATGACAGGAGTGACTAGGAAGGAATCTGGAAAGGAGTGTGGTATCTCCAGGCCTGGCCAGGGGAGATGGTGTTCTGGCTTTAGTATTCTGCTTTTCAGATAGGATATATCCCTCAAGTAGAGAAGAGGAAATTTATCAGGCTCGTCAGAATTATCCTTTAAGAGCATACAGTGGCCTTTGCTCTAATTCTTTACTCAACAAATCCTTCCATTTCAGGCTTTGAAAGAGTCCCATGTGGACTTCAGTCCAGGTATGAATCCCCCCATAAATGAGAGCACTGGCCTTTGGATTTACCAGCTGGTTTGTGTGTTTCGTCAGTAGGAGTCAGGTGCGCCTCTGCAGCAACACCCTGCACCACCCTGCCTGCTCCTTCCTCCACTTCTCTACATGAGAACACTTCTCCCTTTAGCTCTGAGACCTGGCTGCAGTTCCCCCTCTGTCTAACCTCTGACCGCTTTTGATAAGTAAATGGGCCTGGGAGACAAGTAGATTACATAAACCAAGGCTCTCCAGGGAGGGAGGGAAGATAATACTCCTGCATGCAGCGCTGGCAGAGTACACATGAAATACACACACACACACACACACACACACACACACACACACACACACTCTCGTCCCAGTGGCCAGCACTGGTGTAAGATGCAGCACGGCGGGGCAGCACGTTATTGCTTTGGTTGAAGAAACATGTTATGTAAAATCCGCTTATTCTGGGGCAGGCTGAGGCTGATAGCTCACAACCAGGGGCAGGGGGTATTTCTGAGGGATTAAAGGCAGGCCAGGCAGAGCTGCTGGCCCCAGGCTGAGAGTACAAGGGCCTTGTCCTGAGATGACAGCTATAAACAAACAAATCTTGGGTCTAGGGGTGAGGATACAGGGAGGGAGGGCACAAAGCCAGCGCACTGAGTGAGGACAGCATGTGTGCCTGGTGGCTCTGCAACTAGCTGACTCTGTGAAAAGAGTGACACTCTTCCACTGGGCCACAGACTCCCCTCCATCCATCCATCCACCCTTCCATCCATCTACTCAGCCTATAAATATTATTGTTTCAGGCACTGAGGATACAGTGGTAAAAAAGAAATAGGCACAATGATTGTTCTTTTAGAGCACATATTCGAGTGAAAGGAGACAACAAACAAATAGGT